AACTACTGATCTCCTCTTAAGCTGAGAGGTAAAAGCGGCCCTGGTGGCGTAACGGATAGCGCACTCGCCCGGAAAGCGTGAGGTGCGGGTTCGACTCCCGCCTGGGGCACGACTTTTGCCCACAACTCAGCATTCTTGTGATAACATTCGGAACGCGTACTGCGGCGTAAAACAGCAGTTATCCCTGGTAAACCTGCAAGAATTGTTGAGCAGGGTCCATAGATTAGAAGAATGGGCGCATTCCAGTAGAGGTCCAGTCCGCGCTTATGCAAAGAACTCGTGGAAATGAAAGAAAAAAGAATGGGGCAGACTGAGCTGAATGATACTCTCTTTCTGACAGTAGGAGATCTAGATCGAATTCCCTTTACGACTTCTAGAGCGAGAGTAAACCGTTTTGCGAGCTGCTTTCATGTTCCACATGGGCACGTGGAAGAATCTTTATGAAGATTTGTGGTTGATCGTGAAAGCAAGACAAAACCAGCAAAGCTTCACTATCTTCTGCTTTGAGTTCTGATCCCTCAAATTGGTCTAGTGCAGATGCCTACCAAAAGTGAATAGAATGTGCTAGGTCTCACGCGGCAAAAATATGAAAGTCGCCTTGTCAGTGTGCTAAAATGTTTTTTTTTCTAGGTAGTCAGATACTCTAACGTCGTTATCAATCTCATAGGAACTAGAGTTCCAACAAAGTGAGTTCATTCTGTTTCTTTTGGTTCTTTTCTGTTTCTAAGATTACCATATATACGTCTAGGAATTACGACTACTACGAAGTCCATCAGCATGGTGCTCGCCGGCTTGCAAGAATCTGTCGCGAAATGGGTGTGGAGCGCTTCATTCATATGTCAGCTCTGGGCGCAACAGTTAATCCCGGGAAGGGACATTTTGTAAAGGAATCGCAGTTTTTGCGTAGTAAGGTGAAAACATTGAATTTTCTTGTTTCTGTAGACTTTTCCATCGACTTTCTTTCCAACTTTATTCCTACTGGAAATTGTGCTCTGTATTGATCATTGCTGTTTGAGGGTCTTGGAGAAATAGCAGTACGTGAGGAGTTCCCCTCAGCGACAATTGTTCGTCCATCTATTATCTATGGAGAACTTGATGGCTTTATCACGTACTACGTGAGCAGATGGCGAAAAACTCCACTCGATTTGGTGTATTTGTACAAGAAGGGTGAACATACCTACAAAATGCCTATCTGGGTACGTCACCCCGTTTTTATTTTTCTTCCGGAGTTTTCAGTGCCTCATAAAGTGACCGCCTGATTATTTCTTCCACTTTTGATAGCACGTGTTAGATTGAGCGTATTTACTTGTGGTTTAGTGGCTTATGCTCTCTTTGAAGTTAACCATTAAGAAAATTATTTCGCTGAAACGATTCGGTTTTGTGGGGGCACCGAATGATACTCAGCTAGACTTGTACAGATCACCCCTATGAAGGCCTGAATATTGACCAATGGCTCACTCGAAATATTTCAGAGCTTCACAGGTGTGAGCACAGTGAGAGCTGTTAGTCGGCAGAAATTCACAAAAGGTACTAGGGAGAGTGCAAATGTTCTTCTCCTAGCCGAGCAGCTGTTCCTTCTTTCAGTTTTTTGAAATTTATTTGAAATATCCATTCCACCATACCATTTCCAGCGCTTTGGTTGTTGCGCGATCATTTTGCCATCTCATCGAGCTTCTCCGTAGCGGAGCGCTATCACAGCAACCAGTCGCTGAAAAATCGGCTAGAGAGCAACATTAAATTACAGTTCAAGTGCAGAAGTGAGGCTAACCATGTGGAGCTTGAGCTATGCTGCTACTTTCGAAGCACCCTTATGGAGTGTATCTGTTCCTTCCCCCTCCCTCCCCTTAAAAACCACCGTTCTTTCGGAAAGGTGTGCAGCCATGTGGAAGACGGATTCGTAATCGGCACCCAAAGACACTTTGGTCCTGTACATTTCATTTCTTTGAGCAACCATTCTACCTAAAAACGACAGCTTCTCATCTCTTAAATCGACCAGCTTGCAAGAAACTGAAAAGGAATCACTGGATGGATACTTATTTAAATTATTTTGTATGAGTGGAATTTAGTTGAAAGTCGGAGTAACTGGCAATATCCCAGTAATCTACTTGTGAGGTTTCTGTGCAGTACGCACATCAAGTGTTTCCCTAAAAAATTGCGCAGAACTGGACATATTCACGAATAATTGAATTAATTCCATCTGTTCAGAATGGTGATGTTGCTGCTGGTCTTGATCGTATCGTACGCGACCCAACGTCTGCAGGTCAAACTTACGAATTTGTTGGGCCTCATTGCTATCAACTGAGCGAACTGATGGACTATATGTATAGAAAAGCGAAATGCATTGAGCCATTTGGATTCCGGTACGTCATCTTATTATGCCATATTTTTACAACGAATGGAATCTTCTAATTTGTACCCAATGCGTAACCTTCTTCCCAGCTTTATCACCTATAGTGCTGATATTTTTCCGCTCAAGAAATTGTGCTGGTCGTTTTTCATTAAAAGCCATTTTATTGCTGCCTACAATCCACTGCCCGCAATAGTCAGTAATCCTTATTCAAATCTTTTTAGGACTTTATTCTTCAGCGATTGAAATACCTCTTTCTCTCATGCCAAAAAAGCTATATTTTATATGTGAGGGT